TAATGTGTAGGGTTATCGAAACATTATGGAGAATTGCCAAGAAAACGCGATGGTCCTCAAGGCGGGTCTCGAGAAGTCGGGGAGGTTCAACATTGTGTCAAAGGACGATGGGGTCCCGCTCGTGGCCTTTAGCCTCAAGGACAACACGCGCCACAACGAGTTCGAGATATCGGACATGCTCCGGAGGTTCGGGTGGATCGTGCCCGCGTACACGATGCCCCCGGACGCGGAGCACATCACGGTGTTGAGGGTCGTGATAAGAGAAGATTTCTCGAGGACGCTTGCGGAGAGGCTCGTGATGGACATCGAGAAGGTGATGCACGAGCTCGACTCGATGCCGTCGAGGATGGCGGAGGAGGTGGAGGGTGGTGGCCGTCCGCCGATCCCGAAGAAGACGGGAGTCGAAGTGCAGAGAGAGGTTATGGCGACGTGGATCAAGTTCGTGGCCGATAGGAAGAAGACCAATGGGGTGTGCTAGGGTTTTTTCTTTGTGGGAGTGATTAATTGAGAAGGGTGAATTTGGTTTTATGTGACTATATGTGTTGAGTATTGATACTACTTCCAAGTTGTGTTTTGTGATCTTTAAGTTTGAGGCATGCTTTGCTTGCTTGTTATGGCTAAATGAGACCGGATGATGGGGCTTGTTGCTGTACTACTTATTCTCATTTGTGCAATGCTGAGTTTTTATTTGTCTAATTTAGTAATTTATAATTTTAAAGTCGTGTTCCATTTTTTATATTTCAATTTAAGTTTTTTTTTCTTTTTTCTTTTTCTTTTGGTTTTTTTGTTTGGTTTAAAAACGTGTTCCATAGGATACTTCATTTAGTTGAATGGATGACATGTATATAACAGTGAGAATGTGAGATTATCAAGAATACATACCATTTATCCAATAAAATGACATCAAAGTTCAAATAAACTTTTAGAATAGAAAATCTTATCCCGAAGAGCTTTGGTTGGAGAATTAGAAAGAACATGTATCACACGTATAAAATCTGAGAACGTAACTCACGAATATTTCAGTATCGCCATATTTTCTTCTTTACCAAAAAATAAGATAAGGAGATGACTCAGATCATTACGCTTCAAGCTTCAACCGGATTATTCTATACCACCTCTTAAAAAGAAAATAACTTAGATCAAAGTGCTTAGAAAATCAAAATTTGGATTTCTCAGATCTCCCGAACTTCCCCTATTCTTAAATGTTCATGTAGGGCTTGACCAAATTTATAGGTCTATTATATGTATGCAATGCAAATAGAATGTATTATTGGAATTGATTCCTTCTTCATTTTTCTTTATTATGCATTTGTATGTAGTGCAAATGACAAGTCTCTTTAGTTTTCACCAATATGGTACATGCAAATAGAATGTATTATTGGAATTGATTCCTTCTTCATTTTTCTTTATTATGCATTTGTATGTAGTGCAAATGACAAGTCTCTTTAGTTTTCACCAATAATACCATATTGGATGGCTTTACAAATAATAGGTCTATTCCCAAACAAAAACCAATTATATATACATATGCATAATAAAGAAATCGCTTTCAAGTTTAAACTCCAAATTGTTAGCCTCCAGTAATTCATTAATTTCATCGTGAAAAAATATATATATATATATCTCATATAAAGCATCAATAAACATTAAACAATAAAGAAAAAAAAAAGAAATGCTACGATCCCGTTGCAGAACAATTCTGTCGAAGTTTGTAGCCGTTTTATCATCATGTAATCGTTGGGAATAGTTGATCTAACGATTACAAACCTCAACGAAATAATTTCGTAACGGAACCGTAGAATCTCCAAAAAAAAGAATGTCGAAAGAGAAAGCACCACTTTCATTATCAAAAGCCTTTGCACACTATAACATAAATATTTTGAGACATACATAATACAATGTAGTATTATATATATTATCATGTCACCCCAAATAAAAATATAATTACATTTGTCACATTCATATATTTACATACACACCCAAAATACACATTACACTCCAAATATATAATTAATTTCTTCAATTCCAAGCAAAGGCAATAAAATTTGACTTGAGAAAAATTAGAAAACTCTATGCCTTTTGGGAGGTACCCTTCACCACTGTGACTGGGCAACTTGCATTTTGCACCACATACTTGCTCATGTTGTGGTATCATCCCAAGATCATAAACATAATTTGAGAGAAAAACAAGTTTCTATT